TGAATTATTTGCTTTAGTTCACTTCCCTCCATTTAACTTCTCGAGAGAGTACAAAGTTTCAGCACCTTTAAAAGTGTCAGGAACAGAAACTTGCCCAGGGAGAGAACCCTAAGTTAATTCAAGCATCGACCCTCGTCCTAAGGGGAAACACGAATTTCAATCGAACAGAAATGGTCTATCAAAATCAAAACCTATATATGAATTTCATACGTTTTCCTTTTTTTTTCTCTCTCTCTCTCTTGCCAATACCAATCAATTAAAGATTAATTAGCTAAATTATAAAAAAAATGGTCCAATGTTATTAAATGTTGCTTATAAACAACAAGGTTTTTAGTGCTACGACCTTTAGAAGCATCTCTTTATTTGGCCTCCATGTAGGTGTAACTTTTCCTACAGGTAAGACCAGAAAAAGTAATTGGAGAGAGTTGAATCAGCATTAAATAACGAAACTAACAAATCATCATTTTTTAAACAAGGCTATTACAACACCCGTTAAATAATTAAAATTTATTAGAAAACTTTGATTGTACGTACTTGTGTATGACAATATAATCTCTGAGACATTAAATTTATCACTTTTATTTTTTTCAAGACTTGATAATGGACCACAACATCCACCCTGACTCACACGGTGTTTTATTAAACTTAATTTCAAGCTGAGTAATTCAAATATACGTGCGAAATTGCTTAAAACTTTCCTAAAGAACATTATTTTTAACTAAGAAACTGCTCCAATTTGGTGGAGTGATGTGAAAATTAGAAACTTGAGGAAACTAATATAATGCGTGATCATTATCACTTACATAAAAACATTATACCAACTTTTTTTGAACAGCGAATTATCTGCTGTTTATCATACAGTATGATCAAATAAACTGAGTCGATTTGCATATTACCGCTTTCTCTCACTTTTAGAAAAATTAGAGTATTTCTTTATCACTGGAATAACAGATATAAAAAAAGTTTTGAGAATTTCTTTAGATGATTTCTATTTGGTTAAACACGTTGTTCCTGGAAGTAAAATATGACAATTAACTTGTTCATATTAATAGTTTAGTTGTTTCAATCAGGTTTTCGAAAATATCTTATAAGCTAGATATTCGTTAAGGCATTTACAATCTAGATAAAATAGATAATCCTCCCAATGTACCTCAGGCTTGATCAACTGAAGAGTTTTGATCAATATTAAAAAGAAAAGTGTACGACAAGAGATAGAAAGCCAGAAATGAAAAACAATTCCAACGACAAATTTGAAAGATAATGGTCCATCATCAGTATTATGGATTATTTGTTGTTGTTTATATTATCAATTATTATTGTTACATTTAATTTAAAAAATAAAAAGGTTTAAAAAAGTTATAAAAATCTTTAAAAAATTGCAAGAACAAGAAAAAAAAATAAACCAATTGAAGTGAAGAACAAGAATCAGAACTAAAAGAAAAACCAAAACTCATAAAAATTGTTAGGATATCTCCTCACGCACATCAATTCTCAAAAATAACAATTAACTTCGGCAAAATTAAATTAAGCAAAACTGAAAAAGATGATGAAGCACCAAAAGTTAAAAAACCGTAAAAGTAGAACTTTTTTTTAACTTTCCCTCCAAAAATAGAAATTTTACAGAATAATTACAGTAATCTTATAGAGAAAACGCCGTTTTGTCTAGAAATGTAGAAAAAGCACAACAGGTAAAGAGGAAGAAAAAGAAAAACAGCTAGATTTAGAAGTAAAAGAATGAAGAAAGTCAATTTTGAAAAGATCAAGAAAATACTTGACCCACGAAAAAACAAAAACCCACAAAAAATTGTTATCAAAAGGCTTCCACCCCTGCAACATATCAAAGAACCAAAATATCAACCTATTAACGTTGCTGATATCAAATTGAAGAAATCCTAAAAAGGAAGAAGCCTGTAAACCATTATTAAAAATCAGAAATGTCCAGAACCGGTTTACAGAGATACCTAATGGTGTTATTTCAAAAAATGACGGAGCTAAAAAGATTTAAAAAAAAACACCAAGATCAAAGAAAGTGACATTGATTTAACACATTTGAAAAAAAAAATGCCTGATAAGTCAGGACCTGAAAAAACAGTCATTCTTGAAGACGAATCAAAGAAGCCAAACGTTACAGAAAAAAATCAAAACCAGAAAAGAAAACTCAATCCTGAATCATTTAATGTAGATCAGAAAGAACCTGAGAAACTTAAATATTGTCGTATCAACAAGAAATAACTGCCCAAGATTTAGGGATATCCATGACTAAGTTGCTATAAATTTTGTTAGGTTGGTTTCTGGTGGCAAAATATTTTGTAACTAATGTCAAAAATTTAGGTTAAGTCACCTGTCAGCTTCTATGGATAACTCAGAAGTTGTTATTTGACAGAATACGTCAACTGTCAACAACTTTTTAGGCATTCAAAATTACTTCTAAGTTTAAAAATGATAAAAAGAAAAACAAACAGAACCAGAAACAGTTGAAATTAAACTAGAAATTATATGACTAAATTAGATAATTATGTACTTTAACATATTCACAAGAAGCCTTGTTTAAAACCAGGTCCTACTTTTAATTACACAAGAAATGTTTAAATTTTTCACAGAGTGTTTCATCTAATCTGTAAATGAGTACCATACTTTCTTAGTACAATAATGCAAATCATATACCAAAATTTTTTAACAGAGGTAGAAGTTCCTCCCAAAACTGTTTACAAAGTTACGCTCAAAATAAGAGATTTTTTTTCTTAAATTAGATGGATAATCTTAGTAATCCTTCATAAATTATTTCCCGTCCATGGGATGTAATAATGAATTTCCCGACCTTACAAAGGTTAGGAATCGGCATATTACTATAGTGATTTTTTGTTTTGCAATAAGTTCGTTTAGACATTATTATTGTGATGGTGAAATACAAAACGCTATTTTTAAGTAGAACATTACTAAAAAAAGCAAAATTCTCCACTTACAGAGTAGGTTTTTTAAAAAATTGGTATGTTGATTATCGAATTTATTAAACGCCAATTAACAAACAAATTAGTTAATGACTTAAAGAAACCTTAATTTAATACTAATTTAACACTAATCATTAATTAATAATTAAACAATAATTAAAATCAATATTATAGAAGTAATAATACCATTAATACTAATAATACCATTAAAGTATACGTAATCATGTGATGATATTATAATAACAAAAAAGAAAACATTACATCAGCTTTTTTTCAGTCTCTTACTTAATTATTAAATTAACGTTAGTAGAAGTCACGAAAGCTGACTTCATTAGGAGCAAATGAAAATAAGAACACAAATCTAAACAAAAATCGTCAGTAGCAGATATTATACAGGGTGTTTCAATGAAAACGAGCCACCCCGAATATCTCAGAAACTAAAAAGACTTCGCAAAAACGCCGAAACAGGTCGATTTTGTTTCCGAAGGGGACATTTTTTGACGTAATTTTTAAAGCACCCTCAGTAACTACTTGTGGCACATCAAATGAAAGCTATTTTAGCAAGGTTTTCAAACTTTTTACTAAAATTAAATCAGATCATCCATTCATGAGATACAGGGTGTTCTAACAGAAACGAACCATTTTAGAAAAAAAATGCAAAAAAAAAACCCGAAACAGGTTAATTTTGTTTTTAAAATGGACATTTTTTGACGCAATTTTAAAAGCACCTTCACTAACCTTTTAACCTCCGCCACTTAACTCTAAATAGCACCAACCACTAGTAATACAAAAAATGAAAACACTTTTAAAATGATCTTTAAAAGCTTTTCCAAAATGAAATGATTTCTATACATTCATAAAATGTCGGCAAAAAACTAATCTTTGTACAAAGGGACTTAAGAACTATATTGCTACTTTTTAGATACTGACATTAAATTATAAGAAACGTTATTACCCCCTGTCCTTTAGTCCGATTATTTTGACAATAAAATAAAGAAATAAAAATAAGTTTGTTACAGCTTCAATAATACTTATAACAATTTTAGTATGTTTCTTGTAATTTATTTTAATAGTTTTTATTAGAAGTAATTACTAATTAGAAACATTATATCTTATGAATAGATAATCCCATTCAACTTTAGAAAAGAGGTTCAAAGAACATTTTAAAAACACATTTTTATTTGATCTGTCGCAAGTGAGTCATTTGAAATTTCAAAATTGAGGCTTCTAAAATTGTGTCAAAAATTAACCTGTTTCGTTTTTTTTTGCAAATTCGTTCTGGATCGTTATTATTAGAACACCCTGTATCTCATGAATGGATGGTCTGATTCAATTTTGGTGAAAAGTTTTAAAAAGCTTGTTAAAATAGCTTTCATTTGATGTACCCCAAGTAGGGTAGTGCTATTTAAATTTTTAAAGTTGGGGTGCGTGGGGGTTAAAGGGTTACTGGGGGTGATTTAAAAATCACGTCAAAAAATGTCCCGCTCAGAAATAAAATCGACCTGTTTCGGCGTTTTTGCAAAATCTTTTTAGTTTCTGAGGTATTCGGGGTGGTTCGTTTTCATTGGAACGCCCTGTATGAAGAAGTTCGAAAGTTCAAACACCTTGGATTCAAGAACTACAATAACACAAAACAAAACCAAAGCTTTGTCTCTGCAATCAAATTTTGTTTGTAATTAAATTTAAATTCATACAAATGGAATTGGAATCAAGATTCCATCATTTACAATTTTGTAAAAGCACTCGAGATACAAAATTTATTTCAAATAAATCTGAATAGAAGCAAATCTTTGATATCAATCCTGACATTTATTCCACATTCAACTGTCACCATCAAACAGGTTGAAGTTACAACCGCCTGCGTCTTCATTCTACCGAATGAAATGGTGAATGTATGAATCACGTATCGAGCTGACCTTTAACAAATATGGTCTGAAAATAAACGATAATGTTGCGAGAAAAGATTTTGAAAATAAAATGATTAATCTTCCGGAAAAACCAGAAGAGGTCAACACTGAGTGCCGTTCCGGAAGTATTTATGTTATTACGTACCTTAAATCCTTTCCTTCGTTGACAGCACAAACAGCCTGCCAGAAACACCACACTGCAAACAGTTAATAAAACTGCCACCAGTCCTGTCAGCAATTGGGTGTGAGAATCTGGAACAAAATAAGTGGGTTTTTTACCAGAGGGTTCCCCTTTTTGCTCTATTTAGCTAAATGCATTTGTTTCCCTTTTCTTTGTTATTTTTAAAACAACTGCTTACACCCAAAAAAGGATTTCACATTACACGAAATATAGAACAAACAATAAAAAATAATTTAAAAAAATCTACATAATATTCCAATAACTAACAATTACCTAAGTTTATATACAGAATGTCCCAACTTTTTTAGATTAATATCTTTGATAAACAGTATGGATTGGGTTTACAAGAGGAAAATTTTTTTTTATCTTTGATTTTACGCCAAAACTGCAAAAGAAAAAAAGTTTTTGCTTTACTTGAAACCAGCAAATCTGTAATTAAAACTTCATTATTCTAACTCAGTAGAAAGAAAAGTTCATTTTTCTCTTGATTTTGGAATAATTTTTCTATGCATTTTAAGTCTTATCACATTGGCGGTTTTAATTATTTGACAACTATATGTCACTTTGACAATTAATTTATTAATTAAATAATGATAGTTCTTGTTAAAAATGACTTTGGTTTTTACCTTAAAGCTGTTTCTTTGAGTTGCTGCTTATTAAAATTATGTTTTTCACAAACATTTTTGTTATTTAACTTGCCTAAACTCATTGTCAAAATAATAAAATCGCCAATGTGATAGGACTTAAAAAGCAGAGAAAAAATAAGTCCAAAATCGAGAGAAAAATGAACTTTAGTTAGTTAGAATAATTTTGGCGTAAAATCAAAGATAATTTTTTTTCCTCTTGCAAACTCAATCCGGGGACATACTGTAAAAAAACTATTATAGCTGACTTTAAAAGACTAAAAAACGATTTATCTACAAAAAGCGAATTAAAATTTGATTACAATTAAAAATAGAAACCTAAGAAATTAACACAAAACTGTATCAAAATTGATTTTAACATAGATACAGTATTTAGGTTTTTTCAGCAAAGAATATTTCGCATAATTTTTGGGTTTTAAAAATAAAATATTTGAGTTTTGAAAATGAAATTTTTAAGCAAGCTACCAGTAATGATTTTCCAAAAATATTTTTTTATAACATTTACCTAAGTTAATTTGGCGTAAAAAAATACGTGCTAAAAATATATTTTTCTAATTTAAATATTTAAAAATGTACTAACAATGTAACACGTCTGACTTTATACAGAGTGCGCCAGAACTCACGCCCCAGAGAAAAATGTAAGGTAAGACACCAGGAACATGAAAAAAATGTTTAAAAAATTCTATCGATAAAAATTTCGAAATTATTAAAATTTAAATTTTGCACTTTGCTCTATTGATTTCTTTTAAAAATTAATTTTCCAAGTTTTTTTCGCTACAGGACATTAAAAGAGGAAACAAGGAAACTGTATCCTAAAATTGTAACTATGTTTAATGTTATTTGTGACTTTTATTGGCAAAATTCTTTTACTTTTACTAAATAATTATAAAAAAAAAACATACATAATCATCAGTTTCATTAAATAGACATAAAAAATGTCAAATGTCAAAAAATAAATGTCAAAATTTTTTGACAGAGTTTTTTTAAACATTTTTTCCATGTTCCTAGTATGTTATCTTACTTGAAATTTTTCTCTGGGGCGCGAGTTGTATAGCAAATGGTTATCAAGAATAAAGTCCTAGAGTGGTAAAAGATTCATTATTAGTTTATTTCGTTTTGTCATTTCATTTATTTTGTATTTAATTCGCTACTTCTGTCTCAAATTTCACATATTTTGAATAATTAGAAAGAGATATACTGAAAAAGTCTCACATAGGACACCCTGTATGACTTAAAATCATAACTGTAAAAATTAAATTCGCTTGTTTCATTTCAAACTACTTAAAAACATATAAAGGTTTATTATACTGTTATCAGTACCTATTATGATAAAGATTTCCATGTTCACATAAAAGGTTTTTTTCCTTTCCCCTAAATGAATCATTTATTGGTTCTTCATGGTTTGTTTGAAATTTAGTCATTTCCTAAATCCTTGATTCTTTGTTTTTTTTATGAAGGCAGCTACTTAGTTTTTTCTAACCTATTTATCTTTAGTAGTTATTTATCAACTCTCAACGCTTTTATAACCCTTGGCTTTTACTTTTTTTTTTTTAAACTACGAAACTAAAATACTACTTCAACAAGCCATCCACAACCTTCTATCTTTTAAAAAGCCGAAGATCAATGCAAGACAATTTTCTTTTTCATCAACAATTTCAAAATTAAAAATTTTAAATGTAAAAATTCTTATTTAATTTTGAACCAAGCAAAATTAAATAATATGTCCTTCAAAAGCATTTAAAGCACTCCGCTGCATATTGAGCTTTAAACACTCTCTCTATTTATTTCTAACTCATTAGAAAAACATTTTTTCAATACAGGGTGTGTCAGAACTGGCGCCCCAGAGAAATATTTCAAGCAAGATAAGATACCAGGAACATGGAAAAAATGTTAAAAAAATCCTATCTATCAAAATTTTGACATTTATTTTTTGACATCTGACATTTTTTTATGTCTATTAATTGATAATGATGATCTTGTACCGAGTGCGGCAGAAAAAAAATCCCCACTTCTAATTAAATAAAATTGTTGAATTTTTTCACACTGGCATTGGTAAAAGGTACATTCTCTGATTTTTTTGATAATTTTTCATTTACAAATAAAGCAAAAAATAAATAAAAAGTAATTTTCTCCCAAAAAGTTAAATTGCAATTTTTATACTGACCTACGCAGATTCACTTCTTACAATTGTTTACAAAATCAGAAATTAATTCATTTCACAAATTTTAGGAATGCTTTGCTTTTACAATCGTTACATAAACCTCAAACAAATTAATATGTAATATATCGACATGACAGATGTTATTAAACTAAAGATAAATTATCACCTACAGGGTTATTATAAATAATTGTAACATCATAGTACAATAAAAACCGCCTCTCATGAGATAAATTTATTGAATCCATTTCCATCACATTATTGAGTTATTTTGTAAGAAACGAATTTTTTCAAACCAAATTTGGATATGTATTCCGTTGGAATAACAGAACACATGATAACAAGTTAACTATGCATTCCTAACTTTCATTTCAAAACTTTAGTTCCCTTGAGAATTACATAAAAAACTAGTCACTTTTAAGAAAGTGCAAATGCAATTAAAAATTAGTAAATAAACGTCTACAAACGCAAAATATTACCTCAAATTGACACTTTTTTATTGACAGTAATCTATGTATAGAGCGGCAAATGATATTGAAAACACATTTTAAATGCGACAATCATTTATAATCACCCTGTATTAAGTAATATGTGAACAAGTTTTATCTCTTATCCATAATGCATGTATAGTGTCATTTACAACAAATTAAACAACAAAAACTATGATTCTTCTCTTAGTTTATGCGATTCTTTGACCTTTAGCTTGTTGGAGTTTATAAAAAATTGGTAAAATTCATTTCAATTTTTCCAATTCCAATTATTGTCTGTCATAAGAAAGAAATAATTAAAAAAAAACACGATCATGAACAATTATATAACTGATGGTGATCAAACAACCTTCACTTTCCGTTATAACGCTCTTGCTGTTCTGTTTAATCTATAGTTTTTGCCAAGTTCATTATATCCAAGTCTTCTTCATTTAAAAAGAGACTTTTTTACTTATTAGTTATTACCGTAATTATTTAAAAAACAATCTTATAATCGTAGTATTCTATAACACTTCTAGAATTATAGGGCTCAAATATTAACGCACTCGGCTACGCGTCGTGCGATTATCACATTTAAAAAAGTACATAAAAACATGTTTTAATTTTGGTTCATTTTCTAGAAATACATAATTATCATAATTTTGTATTATTTCGAAAACGCATTTTACATAAAAAAATCAATTTATTTAAAAGTTGATAAAACCATAGTATGTCGCCGATATACCATACCGGAAATAGGGTAATAACCACGACCGCATGCATGCAGGTATTCCTGATATGAACAATTTTAGTTAACTGTCTTTATCCAACTTTTAAACTTACAAATTATACAGCAAAATGGTAAAATAAAATGCCTTCTTGGAAGTTCATTCATTCTTTTTCGTAATTAAGGTAATTATTACTTAATGGTCGCTATCCGCTGAGTAATTAAATTCCGTTGCTGTGTGCAAACACTACCGGTGTTTGTCAAAGAAAAAAAACTAATCTAAATATCCACCATCTAATTTATTAGAGTTTAAATAAAAAAATGTGCTGGAAGTGACGACAAAATAAAGTTTTTCACATCACACTTTTTATTAAAAATAAGGATGTGCAATATTATGTATTGTACTTTGGATTTAATATCGGAACAATTTGCGTGTTTCAAGTTTAATATTATTACACATACAGGGTGAATATAAAGTATGGAACCAAGCGGTTTTATTTTTAATCATTTGCCTCCTGAAAATAATAATTAATATAAATTAAAGTAATATAAAAAATGTGATCGTATTTTCAGAACGAAATTTTGTTTTGTTTTTGAGTTATGCAATTTTTTTTTGTCAAAATTGCAATTTATGTGAAAAAATTTTCTTGAAAAAATTAAATATAAAGCAGATAGTTGTAATCCTCAGAGTATAGCTTTTATGAGAAAAATGATTTTATAGTGGGTTGCCATTTAAAAAAATATTTTTTTTTTGTAGAATTTAAAAACAAAAAGAAATTTCGAAAATTTTTATTGTTAAATCATCACATTTTTTTAGTACTTTATCACTCATCAATTAGTTTTTTCAAAAAATATATAGTTTAAGGAAAAAACGTTTGGTTCCATACCTTTTATTCACCTGGTATGTATTTTTTTACAAATATTGATAGTTTACAAAGTCAGTGTATACAGTAGTGTGTAATAGTTATTTACCTAACGAGTTCGGAAAAATAAGTTGTTTACACCACGACCGTAGGGAGTACTGCTTTTAGTGCGAAAGCGGGAATAGTATATTAAAGTACAATCAGCGTAGAAA